AAATAAATACAAATAAGAATAAAATAAAATAAAATAATAAGAAATTATGAAAGTGGAGGAAACCCATGGTAACACCGCCATTTTTACTATGTAAAAGGCCTAGGATCCGGCGGGCATATATACAATATGCTTTATTCCTCCCTCTTAGTCTCTGCCCCATATTTTTTTCTATCTATTTGTTATATTTGGCCGGCCTTTACATTGTATTTTTAAGAGAAAAAATATTTGTATATCAATAAAGTTATTTCGGTGACTGTTAATTTTTGCTCCCACGAAATTAAAACCTGTTTTTGTGCAACCTAATTCTCATATATATTCACAACTTCGGGTATTTTTTCTATATTTTTTTTGGTAGCTCATGAAATCCGCCTTTCCATCTCGATTGTGCAATAATAAACGAATTTTTTACTGTTATGCTTCTCATGTTTTATCACCATTAAACGGAGGAAGGAAGGTAAGCATCCTTTTAAGGTCATAATAAAATACAATTTTAAATTACAATAAAAATTACATTTTGCACATGATTGTTTATGGTAATCCTGGCCTTCGGAGATTCAATTCTATTAGATAAATAAATCACATTTTGCAATGATGACGTGATAATCGTTTTTTAAATGTCTGTAATCGCGAGAATTTTTTCAACTCTCAAGGAATCACGGACGAAAGTCAGAGGCTTGCTTAATCTCCCGAGTCAAATCAATACTCAAGCAAATAATTTTACGAAATACGATGTAGAAGCACTGAGAGTGAAATTTCAACCGGCAACCGAAGACCACGTTATTCCTGATGAGAAAGTCGAAGAATTCTCAGAACAATTCATTTGCCGTAAAATAAACAGAAATATGCTCAAAGATGATGAATTCAATGTTGATAATATTAGCGATGTGTCCGATAGTCTTTTTCAAACCTTCTTTGAAAAACTTGCCATCGTCACCCAAAACCCTCCAGGAATACCTGAATCTAGTACCGACACTATGGTTGATGATTTGCTTCGTATTGCTAAACTGAATAACCATCCTTTGAAGTTAACGTGAGTAATTTGAAAATAACTTTATGTTTTGTTATTATTATGGCTTCATAATTTCCCTTCTTCAAAACCAAGGATTCATCCACCAAGCAAACTACATATCTTAAATGAGCCATATGTTTCGGCAACTCCCGAATTTGTGGTTAACAAAAGAAAAATATCTATGGTTATTACAGAAGTATGCATTTTTTTAATTGTTTGACAAGTCAATACCTTTGATTCTTAAATAAGTTTTTTTTTTGACAGGATAAAACTTTACAAAACATTAACCACAGAAATGGATATGGAGAGATGCAAATTGCGGCCGAAATACTTTCTTGTGGAGATGAAAATATGCGTAAATTTAAGAAGGACACTGATCAGGTTTTATTTGCTGTCCGTTTTATTTCTACCTATGCCACATTTTACAAAGCTCAAATTCCCGCAGAATATTGGGAAGAGCTTATTAAGGGTTTACCAAAAGTAAATTCAGTTGAAATCAAAAGGTGGCCAGGAGAAAATGATGATAAAAGTGGTCTTGATCTTGCAGACCCGGATGGAAGGAAAGCGGTGTTGACTGCGTTAATCAAAATTCGTCAATTTCTTTTGAAGTAGTTGAATCAGTAATAATAGCATGATGTGATTATAACTGTGCCTTGAGACATTTCATATTTTAGTACTATTTATTACACTAAGAAATTTCATGATATTATTTTCTATTTCATTTTTTGGATCTTTATTTCTGTTTTCTGATCATCTGTAATTACTACGTCACATTAAATTTGATGAGCTGATCAATAAATAAAGTAAACATTATTTTCATATCGGGTTTGCGAAATGGAAATTGCATATTAAAGTTGACATATTAAAGTTCTAAGACACAATTTCGATGCTTTGTCTCTTAAGAGATCGGGCACATGATTTTTATTCGGGAGAAATGACACCGAAGCAAAAAAATAATGTATATAAGTTATATTAAACACTTATCTTCAATTTATAAATTGTTTGATTATAGATTGAAAATTTTGGAAGCTTGATTAACGAAACCCTTAATTTTTTGTATCCTTTCGGGAATAACTATTTATGGTTTTTCATCATACCATACCTCAAGAAGAAAAATTCCATTATCTTGACATACGCATCTTTTTAACCGATCACGATTAACAATGTCTTCGAGTTTTTTAACATCTTTATACCAGCTAGTACTATGAAACCGGTGCTGACTTCCTTGTATTTCTAACGTGATTTTATATTTCTGAAAGAAGGCGTCGAATTCTAATCCATTTAAGAAAGGAGGACGGTATTCAATTATCGGTTCTTCATTAAGAAATTTCTTTAGCAATCTGAATGCATTTATTCTGGAATTTACGATTTTTCTTAAACCTCAATTCTTTTTTTAATACCGTTACATCCTGCTCCAGCTTTTTAATTCTGGTTAAATGATCATTATCTACATATTCCGGCTTTTTACATCTGGCTAAATGATCATTATTTGCTTCTTCAAGTTTAGAAATTCTTTCATTCCACGAATCAATTCTGGATTGTGTATCTGACATTATTTTATATAAAATATGAATATGTTTAAAAGTAAGTTTATAGACATTTGAAACAACGAAAATACAATAAATCTTTTTACGAATCTGGTGAGAGAAAATTCTCGATCATATGCATGTTAATATACATCGATACACATTGGAATAAATGTTCGATCGGGCCATTACTTTATAATACATTTATCACATGCTATACCACGATCAAAATATGTATATATATCTATATTCTCTAATCAAAATTTTTTCTGTTATCTCGTTTTTTTTCCGAATCCCGATAAAGAAACAAAAAACAAATTACATATATCAGCCCGTTAACTTGTGCTTATTATTGGCAATACAGAGTTATATACAGTTGCATTACACAAAAAATAACACATGATACGTTGTACGTTCCTCTAACCAAAAATCTTTATTAATAAAATATGTGATAATAATACAGGATAAAATACATGATATCTGG